GGTCCGATCGTGCGCCGCCACCGCCGTCGCCGTGCCAATCCGAAAACAGTTAGATCTGATCGGGGATCTCGTGAGCAGCGGACCGGCAGGAATCGTTTTCGTGGCAGGACTACCGTCGTGCCTACCGCGGGAGAAGAGGTACGAGCGACCGGCAACGGCATTGCGGCATAGGTCGTTCATTACCCCGTCGCCCGTAATCGCGAGGAAGACGCAGAGAGCGCGTTGCAACGAAGAAGAGGAAGAAGAGGCATGAGCAAAAAGCAGCCGAAGCAAAAGCAGAGGCGCCAGAGGGAGAAGAGAGAAAGCGGAATGGAAGCTACGTAGCTTCCCACGGCGATTCGCGGTGGCGGTCGTCACGAATCGCATGACGACGTGACGCCGGCGACGACGACTAGTCGCCGAGGACAATCCGTCCCCCCGCGTTTCCCTCGCCCGTTCCCTCGAACGTTCGTTCATCCGTTCGCTCGTTCGTCCTGGCCGCATCATCGACGCTGCACCGCCGCGAATATCAGCAGCGAGACGGCAGTGCACGGCCCGGGGTCGAGAGAGGTAGGGGAGGAAGGGGACGGGAGCGAGTCTCTGGACGCTTCTAGCCTAGATCAAAACCCGTAATCACGACGTAATAATACCCGATCACGGAAGATATTGCACATTTCCCCGGAATCACTGCTATTCCCAGGGAAGATGCCCCCGTCGGGGTTGTTTGGGAGGTCTTACTGTTCCCCGACATGCAATCCCGAATTCGCCTGCTATCTCTCTCTCTCTCTCTCTCTCTCTCTCCTTGCTTCTCTTTCTGTACGTTCTTCACCGCTCCTCTTTGCCCTGGGTCATATCGTCGTGCACACACACACTCTCTCTCTCTCTCTCTCTCTTTCTTCTTTTGTCCTTCTCCGTACTCCGCTCTGCCGATGCCTACGATTTTCCCTCCTCCGCTTCTCTCCCTTCACCGGTTTGCGGTTAGCGGTACGACTTCACAAAAGATCGGTGACGCCTTCGCACCGTCGATGATTTCGCTTCTACGATAAGACGGCTTTCTTGGAAACGGTTTCCCTGAATGAGTGACCGGACATCGCTTGGATGGGAATCAATGGTTGAGACCGATTCCCGAACCGAAATCTCTGTGTAAAGTGGCGTGTACACTGAGAAACAGTGACTTGATCTTTGTGTAATCGCATAAGTCAAAGAATTATAGTCGAGGGAACTATTTTTTTAGTAAGTTTTTAGTAAGTTACTATAATGTCAATGATAATAACCTTACAAGCATATTGCTGCTACTATTTTTTCACTAAGCATATACTAAGCGTCAATATACGTGTACAATAAGACCTTAAATTAACATTTATGCCAAGACTGATTGATCTTTCTAATTATTCCGTATCTAGACGTAACACAATACGATAGATAATAATATATTATATGATACGTGCAATGTCAAAGTGACAGATTAGCCGGATAATCGACAATCTTAATAGAAAGAAGAAACTAATGAGTTTCGGCCTGGCGAATATTACGACTTTATTAAGACTTTATTGAAAGGAAGCGCACGCACCATGACGTTCTTATTCGCGCGTCGAATGATTGAACATCTCAACGAGGGGGAGGAAATCGCTTCCTGCGCATAGCGATCCGAACGAGCAGAACGGTGAGAATAACTACCCGCGAGCAGCGCAACGTGTGTACCAACTAAGTATACAAAAATGGAGAGTCAAGCGAGATCTTAATGAAGTTCACCGTTGATACAAAGTAATCTAAATATTTAATCTAGATTAAACCGAGAAGACAAGATGAAGAGAGGAACAGACAGACAGACAGACGGACGGACGGACGGGCGGATGGATGAGATACGGTCGGCGCGGGCAGCCGCGGGTTTAACATTGTACGCTTTTTTACACGGTAACCGAACAGTTTGCCGGCTCGTGTACGACGAGCGAAAGAGAGAGAGAGAGAGAGAGAGAGGTTCATCAGAGGCCCCGAAGCCCGTTGGGGCCCAAGGTGGGCCAGTGGCTGGTAGCACTGTTGACGGAGGCAGCAGACGTAGGCGGCCGGACGTGCGGAGAAGAGAGAGAGAGCGAAGAAAGAATGAAGGGGCGAGGGGGGGGGGGGGGGGGGGGGAAAANGGTGGAAGGGTGCCTCGAGCCAGCCGTACCATTAATCATCAGGGTAATTCCATAGATGGCTCTTTGCTGCTCCGAGGAGCGAGCGATGCATGCCAAACTTTTACCTCGCCCGTCGCCGGACGACCTGCGAAAAGGCGCGTTCGTTTCTGCCGCATTCGTGACACCGACGATGCGGCGAGCGCGTGTTTCTCGTATTTCGGCGAGGCCCCTGGAAAAGAGCGAGGCATTGTTTTATAAGAAGCTGCAAGAGAGACGGAGAGAAAGACGGGAGGAATTTCGTCGCGCTCGCGATCGTGCAATTTTCACGAGTCCGCCTGTCCGTTTCAGATACGAGATGAGCGCAGATGGACGAAGCGTGTCACACGTTTGTCTCGATGAAGAAGCGCCGTTTAATTTGTTCTTTCCGTTCTGCTTTTCTCGCGCATTTTAATCCTTTACTTACGCTGTATCCGCCGTTATAGAACGCGCGTACGGTTCTCATACCTCGGCCCGTACATGCGAAGCACACGCGACAGAGCCCGCCTGTCAATTTAAACTTGGCCGTACATTACGCCCACATCTTTCTTACATTCTTCCGGACTGTATATTTACGCGGCATTCGCGGGAATTAATGACACGCTAAGTATCGCGCCCCGCGCGAATATTAAGATGGAATCGATAACGCGGCGCTACACAAGCGTGAATCGAACGACCGGAGAGACGATAAACGTTCTCTCTCTCTCTCTCTCTCTCTTTCTCTTTCCTTTACATAGATATCATCTACCCTCGCTAGCCGCAATTTAGCCGCTTAATAGATTGTTCATACGTAGACCACGCCACCCCGCACCCCTATCCCTCGGCCGATCTTCTCATCATTTGTCTCTCCCGAGTGCGAGGCGCGAGTCCAAACCCAGTCTACGGCGACGACGTCAGGTGTTGCAACGACCGTCCCGTTGCTGGCGCGAGGCGATTTCGTAACGAATCCGCGGTATTTGTAAACAACGTTCGCGTTGCTAAATCCTCCATCGGCCGGCGATCAGCCGCGGTCGCACGAACACGTAGTCGAACGCGAGGCGCACGAATCGTGGGGCCCAGAGTGGCGGGACAAAAATGAAAGGGAGAACGACGAACGGACGAATGGACGGGCAGACGGACGAACGCGGCAAAAAAAGGGCCAGCTCGTCTCGCGGAGACACGGCGGCCACCGGGCCGTCCGAACGATGTCAGGAGTTTAATCAATGCATTTAGCCGAATTCCCGTCTGGCCCAAATAAAAGGCGAGACGGGAGGAGAGTTAAGCGCAAAAAACCGCCGTACGCGCCACGGGCCCTTCGTCCGACCCTTCTCCTCTGCCCCTCCCTTTCTCCCTCCCTCTCTCTCTCTCTCTCTCTCTCTCTTCCTCTCTCACGAATCCGTTTCCGCCCCCGTCGCCGGTCGCCGCGACTTTTGGGACCCGGTCGAGGCCCCGCGCGCCATCCCAAAGCTCCCGAAGTCGTTAGGTATTCCGCGGGTGTACTCTTCAAGCCCTCTCCCTTCACTCTCCCGCGCACCTCCGACCTGTCGTCCCTTCGCCCTGCGTCCTGTATCCTCGCGGGAGAAAGACTCTCTTCTTCGAAGAACGTACGTCAGCCGGGACGAAAACTAGCGGCTGCCACAAATCTTCACGAGTTGGCCTTTTCATTCACCGTTTCACCGCGTCCTCCGAAACCGCCCGCCGCAAAACGCCGTAGGACTTTCTCTTCCGTTGGACTATCCGAGCTGATGAGTCTCTCTCTCTCTCTCTCGTCTTTCACGTTGATTAACTTTCGGGCGTGTCGATCGCGTTGATGCAAGCGAAATCTAATTTCCTCGGATTTTTTTCACCGTTCGATAATGACATTCTCGAGCTTGTCTCGCGACAATTGAAGAATTCATCGAGCGAATCTGATTCTTGATTCGCTCCTGATTCATACGAGTGAACATTTAAATTGATTAGAATAAATTAAAGGATTCCTGTTCGCATCGCTGATTATAGATTCGCGGCTTGGTTAGAGGTGAAAACGTTCGGTCGGGAAATATTGACGACGAAGTATGATGTGATATTTAACAAAGATGTGAAATCTCTCGCGCAAAAGTTACCGCTGCTATTCTTCGTGCGAACGCGCGTAACTGAGTCATTGATAGTCAACGGGTCGAGCATCCTGTCCTAATCCACTATCTCGTTAAGCATCTTCTAACGGTGGACCCCGAAGTTACCTCGTGAAACGTGACGAAGAAACCGACGGAGATAAAAGAGATGTGACGAAGCAACCGTCCCTCTCCTCCATTCATACGTATTGGATTTTTATATTAAAAACCCACTGACTCAGAAACACACTCTGCAAAAACAGCACGCCAACGTGAACTCGCGCATCTGTGTATCCTCTGTGTACAGCGAAAATGTTGAATATATCACTTTTTCCTTCAATGTACTCAAGTAATATCCACTTAATCCAAGTAAAATAATTACTCCAATATTCCTTAGAAAATCTCTACTCGAAAGTACTACTTTTTTCTTTCAACGTACCTACCAAATAAATGTTTTACGTTTTAGATACTTTCTTTTTCTCCCAGTGTGTAGCAATTTATTTCCAAAAAGACTTCTTCACGCTCACGTTTCGGCCGTTTGGGAAAATTGCGGATCAAAGCCACGATTGCCAGATAATCTCGCGATTGGCGTTTCAGAGAGCGATACTCGAGCGCACGTGGAATCCCGTCGATACCGTGACGATAATTCCACGAGGACCACCCTTATTTACGTCACGTCTTCGATTTAAGGGCGTTGATGGAAATCGAAGAGCCGCGACCACGGAGGTATTCTCCGTTTGCTCGCGCGCTGAAGAAGGACCGCGCGATAGCTTATTGATTTCCCGTTTTTTCTGTGCAGACGATGGACGCGTAATGCCGCAGTCTGGCCGTAAGCTCGTTACGCCTGTCGGAAGTATAAATCAACCGCAAAGTTATTCCGCTGTGTTGTCGAGAACTCCCTGCAGGGCGCCTCACTGGAAACTGCTACCACCTTCTTGCCCAGGATAACGTTCGCCCGAGTAGGTAAATCCGTCTCGCATGATCGCGTCATAAGCGATTTATAAAAGTCACGGGGCGACGGCAACGAGGAGATTTCAAGTTGCGACTCCCCGTCAAGTTCATCAGGCTAATTTCGCTCGTTGTTTTTTTATGCATGCGAATTTCGTACTCTGCTAATTTTGTAGAGTCAAATTTTGCTCAAAACGAGTAGAAAATCACCACTCAGAAACGACGGTAATTTCTAAAATTTCTTATAAGTCTCAGGGAACGTCATGGCGGCGCCTTTTGGGTCTTAAATCGGTTTAAAAACTAGCGCGGGGCAGCTGTCGTCTAAATTTTGTGCATTGCGATCTCTCGTATTCGAAACAAGCTAGAATTCGGTCGATTCTCACTTGAAACGAGAGAAAATTCACTCCAAGTGACAGTGGGTAACACCGCCGCTCGGAATTACATGAGTAAACGCTTAATTTAAAACGCATTCTTAATTCATGTGAATTCACAAGTGAAAATTGATTAGAATAAATTTGTTCCTATGACGAGGCGGAGTACATGAAATTCGCTCTTTAATTGCGAATGAAAATATTCATTCGACGATTCGTGTGATCGGTCGAGTGAAAGAATTCACTGTGTATGGAAGAGTCACTCGAATTCAAGTGGCTCGGCTGTCACTCCACTTTTCCGATGGAATTTCATTCGAAGAACCGCGGAGAGTGGCCGGAGGTTGCCTACTTCACGCCGAAGCGAGGTCGAAAAACGTACGGAGTCATGCAACGCTATTCTGTCCAATGGCAATTAGTATGACTTATCGTCGCCGTCGCCGCGTCATGGGATTTCGCTGTAATTATAATTTACGGCCACTTAGGCCGGTACATTGATAGTTTTAACTGTATTTTCCTTTGATTATTTCTCAACCAGTGTGCACGCAGGCACGCACGCACATGGGTGCCTGAACGAGCGAGACACGAGCGGCAATAGCGGTGCCCTCATAACACCCTGAGAATCTAATTGTAAGGTTGCCGCGCGAGTCGCGGCACAGGTCGCATTTTCTCGATAACAAAGACGTAAGTAACGATAATGTGGTAACGACCCCGCTGCCGGTACAGTTATAGCGCGACTACTGCGACTACTGCGCCGGGGGAAAATGATTTTCTAATAAAATCGCGAGATAAGAGAAAGAGAGAGACCACGGTGGTCGGTATAATAAGCTAACATTGTGCCGACGTAATGCGTAATTACCGATCCGGCGAGATCTGATAATTGTTACGCCGGTAATTGGCACCGGTAAGAATAATACCTCCTCGATGACTATGCGTCGTTTCTCACGAACGAGTGTCCCGCGAGAAGAGCAGCCCCGGGGTTTCTGTTCCGTCCGTTTGACACGATTAGTCTTCCTTCTTTCCTTCTCCCCTCTCTCTCTCTCTCTCTTTTCTTTCTTCTCTTCATCAAAGCCATAATACTCGTACATCCTGCGAGTAATCCCGGTAGCTCGTCGAGAAAAGTGTACGAACGTGTAAGAGCGGAGAGGAGTGGTGCTGCGAGTGAGGCGAAAGAGCGAAAACTTAGAAAAGTCGAGTTCCGAGTAAACCCGGAATCGTAGGATAATCCGAGATGATCGCCTAATAGCTTTAGGAAAGAATCGACTGGGGACGACTACTTTAAATTACCATAAGCCCCGACTCGCCCCGGCTAACGAGCGGAAGAGACGAGACCCCAAAAGTGTTGCGACTAGCCGCCGGAATAAAGGGAGGAGTTACGAAAATCAAGCAACGATGCGGTGCGCGCGGACGTGCAGTATCGCGGAGAACCTGATTAATAGCAGTATGCGGAAAGTGACAAAATCGAAATCACGGATTTCGTGTTTCCGATCCTCAGAAGTATAATTAACGCGTTAATGGCCGCACTGATTTTCGTTATTTGTACAAAAGCTTGATTGACGATTCAAAGAAGGTCATGGTAAATAAGTATAATTCGAGACGCACATAGAGATCTCTCATCTTGTTTCATTGACCCTCTCTTGATCATACAACCAAATTTTCAGACGCGATTAATTATATTTTATATCGATAATTGAGATAGAGAGAGAGAGAGAGAGAGAAATGATACCTCGTAAGTTCGAAATCGGAAGAGATGAAGAAGCGAAAAACTATTTTGCAAATTCACTTTGCTCTAAACGATAGAATGTTTCCTGTATTCTTTAGTTTTTCTTCAGATTTCAAATAAAAGTAATGTGTTTCTAACAAATCGGAAAGAAAATAGGTCTGAGTTCGTTGAACAAAAAATGCAAAAATGGTTATTTTCGCAGACACGAAGCAGTATCACTTTTTAATCATCAATATGTAACTCAACAAGTCAGGTAATATCATAGCGCCGACTACCGGTGACTGTCAAATTTCCTCGATATTGCACGGCAACTCGAGAAGGAATAATTCGACAATTAAGTTAAATTCGAAGTGATTCGTACATTTGCATATAGCAATTAATGTTTAATCGCTCGCACACAGGGTGTTCCGGAAAAAGCGCCGGTTTTCTCTCGTTCCTCCGATCTCTCTGCATTCGGGAGAAAGCGCGCGACACATCTGATACGCAATTTCCCGGCCCCTCCGCCGGGGCCCGTACGCTTTTAATTAGTTAATAAATGTGTGCGCGTTGACAACGATCGTGAGATTGGCGGCGGTCTTGTTAATCAGGCAGGTATTAATTAAATATAATGGACAAGGATCGGAGATCGAAGCGATGTCTGCGTTTTCCGTCGCGGCGCTCGCGGTGAACAAGAACGCGAGGATCGATACGCATCGCGGAACGCACGAGTGACGCCGAAGGGGGGGGGGGGCACGACAGAAGCCGCAGAAACAACACTTCTCAGCCCGGCAATAATCCAGGCTGCTCTCTTGGCTCAGCGATTGTATCGGCTATCCTTCCGTGTGCTAATAATTATCTCTCGATTTCTTCTAATTTAACGGCGCGCGTACGTCACGCGCTCGCGCGTTCCAGCTACGCACCGGTAAAATCCAAGAGCCGCGCCTCCTTTAATTGGCCCGTACAAGAGTGATTTACGATCCGGGGGGAGGGGGGTGGGGGCGAGAAGGAGAGGGGGGAAAAAAAGAAAGTACCCGAGTGCGCGCGCGTTTCTTTCACGCTTTTCCCATTGAGATAATAAATAACGAGTGTTTAATAATAATAATAATAATAACAGCAACAATAATAATAGTCACGCAAACATTCAATTAATTACGGTCGTTCCGCCGTGTCTTGCGTCTTGCCCGTGTCTTCGCCGATTTTCCCAAGGGACCGTAACCGCCGCCGTCGCGGAAACGCGCCAGACGCGCACGAGTTTCGCGATGCGACCGAGACGAGAGATCCCTATCGCGAAATCAAACGGCTGGAGGGGGAGGAGGAGGCCTCCGCGGCCGAGTCCTGCGTAGAAGGAGAGACATCGCGAACTCCTCGCTCTCTCCTGCCAGTCGAGCCCGCCGAAAGTCGTAAAACGTCCAGCACCCACGTAGAAACTGGTATCACGTACCGCCGCTACAGGCCTGAACCCTTTGTGCTCGCGTGTGTATTATCACGTGTGCATACAGTCGCTCCCACAAATAGTCCCGGCACGGTCTCGCGCGTGAAGGCCGTCCCCGAGGAGGCCCGATGTACAATCTTCCCTCGAATCGCGGAAATATTAGATGAGCGCTCGCTCGAGAACGCGGCCTCCGATTTTCGCGAAATTCGGCCATTTCGCGGCCGCTGCGCGCCGTCTGAGCCTTCCTTCCGGGCGATCTGTGTGACAGCACGTCACACCGTTCAATCACCGCGGTATTTCCCGTCTTCCTCGGCCTCCAACTGACTTAACTCGTTTCGTTCAACGTAGCGTGCGCGTTTTTACGCATTTCGCGTTAAAACGTTACCGAAATACAAACACGTAGTTGGCTTCGAAGCCAGATGTTCGATACTCTCTTTGTTTCGCTTCTTAACGTTGCGTTTTATATTTGAACATCAGGTATATCTCCCATTTCTCTCGTTTCCCGATGTTAAATTTTATACGTTAAAGGTAACGTATATTCGTCACATTTTCCTCTCACATTTTTAACGTTTTAAATTTCACGCTTAACAATTATTAGACACCCCTCTCATTTCTCTCGCTTCCCGGACGTTAAACTTTAAGTTAGAGTAGTACTTCCTACTTTTTCTCCTTCGCTTTTTAACGCTGAATTTTCACTCAAAGCCTCGATATTCCCCTTTCTATCGTTTCTCAGCGTTAAATTAGAAATTAAAAATTAAGTATAATCGATGCTTCCCCTTTTCTCTCGTATTTTTAACGTTCCCTTCCCGTCAGTCTTTGAAATCGTTTTCGAGACATCGTCGAAAACGAGGACTCATTCGCGGTTGGGACTGTACCATACACGTGGACGTTCTGGTGTACGTGCCTGTCGTCCGTCCGTCCGTCACGAGTGCGTGCGCGAACGTCCCGACTCGTCCGGCCCGGAGGATGCTCGCTAGCTCGCTCGCTTTGCTCGATCATGGGACAAAAGTCGAGCCTACGTCTCGTGGGAACGTAGAAGTCACGCTCGCTCAAAAACCGTGCTCCGTGCTGCGCACGTATTAACAACGGGGCGAGCAGCTTCTTACGTCGCCATCGTTCGGCTGAAGTATCGTCTCAGAATGCGCGAGAAGCCAAAATTCTTTCCTCGAGACTTATTCAACAGACACGAGGGAACCCCGCGAGTGAACTCGCGGCAACATCAAGCGCGCGATGATGAATTTGTGCGTAAATAATTGTCCACGAAGAAGACTTTCTTGGAGAAATCTTTTCGTTACTGATTCCCAAATCACTTTTCAGCAATCGTAAGTGGAAAAAGAAACGGGGAAATAATGAATTTCACCAATCAATGTTGAATCATCGTCATGAATCTCGTGTACAACATTTGTCTCATTATAGTGCGCGTATTGAGAAACATTACATTACGACTCGTACTGCTTGTTAACATTCCACCAGCCTGCGCTCACCAATTGCAATCGCTTCGACTCGATC